AGTGGAGGAAAAATAATAGCTTGGAACCTGCACTGGAAAGACTTTAAAGAAAATACATTCCCCTTTGATATTCAGATTGTGTGAGAATGAACCCTTCCATTTTTGAGACAGTAGGTTTTGGTTTAAGGGAGGAGTTGTGAGATCAAAGAAGCTTTGGTTTTTTTAAGTTTAGTTATTTATTTTGAGGGAGAGACAGTGAGTGAGCAGGGGAGGGTCAGAGAGCGAGGGAGAGAGAGGAACCCAAGCAAGCTCTGTGCTGTCAGGGCAGAGCCCCAGGTGGGGCTTGAACTCACAAACTGTGAGATCATGACCCCGGAGATCATGACATCTGAGATCGTGACCTGAGCGAAAACCAAGAGTCAGACGCTTAACTGACTGAGCCACCCCAATGCCCCTATAAAGAAGCTTTGTAAGTGGCAAAGCACAAACGTGCTATCGACTTGTTTGGTTATGTATTTTGGTTCCAGGAGTAGCATTTTATACATTTCATTATTTAAAAAGTTCATGTCTATGCATACTGAAATATTTATGGATGAAATGCTATGATGTCTGGGATGTGCTTCAAAATAATACAGGGGAGATTGGCAGCGGTGATAAGTGAATTGAGATTTTCTGTACAATGATAATGCTGAAGCCCAGTAATGGACACATGGAGTGCCCTGTACTGTTGTTTTGTGTATGTCTGAGTTTTATTTAATAAAAAGTTACAGAAACTTCATCTTTATAGATTCAGTCCATTATTTTCAACTGGCATCTTTTTATGTTCTTATTTTATGAAGATCCTTATCCTCCTCTCGCGAGCCCCACAAGGATAGATACATACCTCCATTTTACTGACCTCTGGTTCTGTTAAGGGACTTCTCCAAAGGTAAACATCTATTTAGCTGCAGATTTAGGACTAGAACTCCCATGTTATTTTGACTTCTGGACCAATATATTTGATTACCTAATTGAGTGAGTTTGTAAGTTTCCATTAAGAGGTATAAAATTCAGAGTAGCTCTCTAGGGCTTTGATCTTGGAAACAGTGGTCTTCATTTGCAAAAAAGTGACATTGCCTTTGCACATGATTTTCCTCCACCATGGAATGTTCATTCCCATCCCCTAGTTCACCCGGGTTAACACCTATACATTGTTCAAAACTCAACTTAGTCTTCCCCAGTCCCCACATACATGCTCTGTGCCATCTCAGCAATCATTCTGTCCTTTGCATTAGTTCTGAATCTTGGTCAAACTTTTTTTCATTTCATATGCCACAATGAATTGTAAATGTGTGTATGTGCATGTCTATATGTAGTTTTCTGTAGTAAATTAGAACCATTGATGCTTTTTTTTAAATTTTGGGGCTTTTTACATAATGGCAACATCTAATACGTAGTTATTCAGCAACTCATACATGCCTGAAACCATCAGTTGATGAGATCAGCAAATGAAAATACATGGGAGCTTAAATAAATACCTTGGCTTTGGCCAGTTTGTGCATCTCAGGAGAGAGTACTTGTGATGTGTATGAAACTCTGGCATTGTTTTCTTTTTGGAAACAAAGTCCTATCACCTGGGGGTCTTCACTCAAGTATCAGTGTGATTGCCAACCCATGTAAAAAGTATTCTAAAACTAAATCACGTACACTTTTTTCCTCCAATAAAAACCTTCCTGTGGGATAAGATGGAGGTAGAGAAGGTGGGAAGCAGGAGGGGTGTTTTTAATTCTGCAACTGTGTAACTCATATAGACTGTGAATAGCTTATCACAGTAAGGGATGCTCGCAGGAGGGGAGATGAAGTACCACACGGATAATCGGATCAGTGATAATACTGGATAATATCTACAGATGCTCCCACAAGGCAATCTCCATCACTTTTGAAGTAACACTTGTCTTTTCTCCCCATGAGTGACTGCTCACTAAGAACTGGCACAATGTACTTCTGAAAAGAAATGCCTTGCAAAGCTTTGTAAGAAGGGGTGGTTGATTGAATACAATCTTCTTCGTCCCAAAAAAGAGGAGTGGGCTTTCACGAACAGATTTCAATGCACTCATCATAAATATGGAAGGACTATGTAGTCCAACCTAATAAAATAATCAAATTTCAAGTTTAATGAATTCTGTACCGTCTCCCGTCCATGTTGCAACACCCATCAAGCCAATTTTGCTGTAAAAAAAGTGCCAATTCAAAGTCCATCTCCTGTCCCCAGCCAGGGTGGGACCCAGTGGTAAACAGGAGGTACAGGGAGGGCAGTGTAAAAGCAGCTTTAACATTTTCAGTGAAAAAAAAAAAAAAAAGCTGGCATGTTCGCGGTTTTGATTTGCTTTTAATAACAAGTTCCCTCAACCAAAACTGATGAATTGGCATAAGAATAAGGGTACAAAAGAAACATCAAGGGGCCTTCCAAATTGCTAACTAAAGGATGAATTCTCTGCTTTGGGTGGCCATCATTTTAGCCCTCAGAAACAGGGAGATAAAAAGATGCAAAGCTTTTAATATATGCTGCTTAAATTTATAAAGGAACCGATTAGAGCCTGTGGCCTGTGGTGTTGTCTTAAAACTTTATAATCACATTCGGTACTTTAAGCAAATGCAAATTCTGTCGAATGCTGCCCTTGAAAGGCAATTTCACTGCATAGTAAATTGAAAGTAATCACTGATACAGGGTAAATACAGCTTCTGTTGGCTAAACACCAAAGCATTTCCACACAGTACTGCATTTTAAAATAGCTAATTTTATTGTCAGTGAAAAGATAGGCACAAAGTGGATTCAAACCTGCTTAACTTTATTGGAACTAGCTCAGTCGATTACAGAATGGGGTGGCAATCAACAAGGGGCCACATACATTTTACACCGAAGGTGATTCTTCTCTAGCCATCTGCCAACCCCAGCTATCCATTTTATTAACACATACCATTAATCACAAGGGAGGCCAGAAAGGAGGTTTGATGATTCCATGTAACCCATCATTGCTACTGGAAAAAAATAAACAAGCTCTGACACTTGTCCTACTGATGATGAATGACACTTGGGAGATATATTTCCAATGATCGTAGCGGGCTGAAATTGATGGCAATTAGCCCATACTGATGCCTTCCTTCGAAAACATGTTCCGTAAGAATGCACACATTTTAAGTAACACATTCCATATGTGAACGAGCAGTTGAGATAACAGGAGATTGTATGGCTAACAGACATGAGAATATAATTTATAAAAGTTAGTCCATATGTATACACTGTGAGCTGCCACATTATGAGTGTTTAGGCTCTTCATAAAAAAGTAGTTTGCACAATCAGTTTGTTCATTTTCCAATCGTTGTGCCCACCCAACTGTGTAACAAGAGAACACTTGGTATGTTTTCTATGGCAGATGATGGCAGATATTTCAGGTTCTTGCTCTCCCTGTCATCCTGAAGCTCAAAAGCAACATTGATAATAAATCCTTCATTAAAACAACAATCGAGATATCCATGAGTTTAAGAGAATGTGCAAGCTACTTTTCTTTAATAAAAAATGGTTAATAGGAGTTTTCTATCAAGTACAATTCATTCTAATGAAGTGTTTCTGTACATGGGACATCAGGATACAACTGACTTAAATAGGTCCCCAGAGACCACCAGGCAGTACACATTAAGACAACAAGGTCACCCTTCTGTCCTGAGGTGCCAGTAAAATGCATAGATTGGTGGGAGTCCAGAAAGATCCCCCAAATGTTATACCCACACAATTGTGAAAAGGTGACTCACTTGACATTTCTCCCGTAAGCCTGAATCTTTAGAAGGACACCTATTTGAGGTTTTTTGAAAAGGCTAAATCTACCTTGTTCTATTAGTAAACATAGTACACTGACATGGACTTCTTCCATCTCTTAGATGTATGATATTACTTGAGAAAATTACTTGGGATTAAAAAACTGAGCCAAAAAGGATTTCCTCTGGTGTGAGGGGGCAGAGATGCTGTGGAAAGTTCAAAGTAGTACTCAGCCAAGAACTTCCTCCTTTCCCCAAAATACATGAGGCTAAAGAGATGGCTGCCACACCGTGTGGAATGTATGACATTTGTCACCTTCCAGAATCTGATTGAAATCATGGCTCCCAGAGCTAGCAAAAATTCTGGCAATGTGCTATAAACATAAAAGGAGCAGATGAAAGGTTTAATTTTATTTTTATTTATTTATTTGGCTAGAAAGTAGCAGTCCTCAGGTTTGCTTTCTATTTGAGAACTTTTCCCCTTATGACTGAAGGGCGGTATTAATGAGTGTTAACAGAACGGCACTTATGATTTCTATCTAGGATTCATTTGATGGCTGAAAACTAACGTGCAGGATGATCACTTCTTTAGTGAAATGTTTAGACTGGCTGAAAATCACGTCACTCTCCCTCGTCTCTTCCCCTGCCCCACAAAAAGAATTCCTTTGGAAGGTAATTAAGAATGACACAAAAATACTGTTAAATATGTCATTCCCATGGTCACAGAGGAACCCTGTAAGATGACCTGAGACAGCCAATCCCATAGTAAGACAAGCAGTGAGGGGGGTTGCTTAGGGGGAAGTTTCATGTGATTCAATGTTGAAATGAGGACCAGCGAAGAGAAAACCTTGCAAAAAGGCACTGCAGGAGAGGCAAGGTAGGAATCTAGAACCTTGGACAAACCAACAAAGCCAGGGACATTTTACAAAATACATATGCCCTGGTCCATGAAGACGCCTTTTCTTAAAACGAAGCTTTTTGTATATAAGGATTTCCCAAAATAAACATGATAATTAGCAGAATGGAAAGCTGTGTTGGGTGATCTTGAAAAAGTAACCTCTCCAGGTCTCAAATTCCTCATCACTAAAATGAAGGGGTAGGGCTCTATTGCTGAAGTTCCTTCCAGCCACTACGCTTCCCAACGTAATATATCAGGCCTACTTTTCTATTAATCTGGTTTCTAACTAACACATCCCCAAACTTCTACCCCCCACCCTTACCTAACACCCCCCACTTCCCTCACCCTCCCATACCCCTGAAAACTGATCTTAATGACATTGTCTGTGGATCTGTCACCTTAACTAAGGGCAGAGAGGTGACACAGAGCAGGGACCCGTGGCAAGAAGCAGCCCCTTTGTGTTCCTGGAGGCAGCCCTCTGGCAAAGCTCCAGAGACATGGCCTCCTTGGTCCCTGTCCACATGCGCATTTCCTGCTGCTCTCCAAAGGTATTCCAAGATGGAGTCACTGGCAGTGAGAAGGGACAGCTAAGAATACATCTGCAGCCCACCTCTCCCCCGACTGCAGCATAGTACTTTGGGCTTCTGATGCTATTCCCTTGGAGGTTATAGTCAACGATGCCTTTTAAGACGTATGCTAAGAATTGGGGAAAACAAAATGAGTTCTTTCAAAGTAGTCACCAGAAACTCAAAGCATTCAGCCCATCTACAAGAAATGCTTCTTCATTTTGCAAATGATTGGAAATCTGAAACTGGTGACACAGCCAGTGAACTTGTGCTGGAGAAAAAAATGAACACTAGCAGATTGGTCTCAGGAAATGCAAGCGAGCTGTGTTCATGGCCACACACAGCACCTCGTGCGACTCTCCATCAAGGCCTCCGATGGTCTAACTCCCTAAGTGGGAGGAAGTTGTACAGCACACAGCTAATTTACTCTCTTAGCATCTGAAAGCAATATATTAATTATCCAAATGCATAAATTACTCCAGAGTATACGTATGAATGTATGAACCTCCGCGAGGGAACCAAAAGAATCCACTTCCAAAGCACCACTGAAATGAAGATAAACACAATCTCCTGGCACAGGGTAGCTGGGAAATTGGGAGGGAAAATTAGCTCCAGCACCCTTCCACACCCCAATATCCCTGCCTTTTCTTCTGCTTACACAGCTCCTAAAACTATTTCTTTACATGAGCCCAAGATGAGAGCTCTCTCTCTGGATGCTGCCTAGATGGTAAATATACAAAACAGCACACATGCAAATTCTCTCCAGCTTCCCACTTCTGAAATCTACATGTTACGCACTGTCTCCCAAACATACTGTGCTCTTAAATGAAAATGATCTGGAATATGGAAATGCTAAACAAAATCACGCACGTTGAAAACATTCATGTATATCCAGCTATTAACAGTTCATGTATTTGTATAAATGCAAACTATAAACTTTAGAGCACATTCTGATTAATCTGTCTTTAGAAGTACTCTCTGAGTGTGTACCAGAATAGACTGGAGTTTGTATGGTATTACTTAAGCACTATATTGCTTCAATAAAAAGTCCCTTTAAAAAACATCCCTCCCACCCCTTGTCCTTACCCTCAAAATAAGAACAAACAAAAGGGAAACATGGTTAAAAGCACTCTTGCTGATAAACTGCAGCTCTTGAATAGGCCATTTAGATGAGATACTCCACCATCTCTGCGTCAGGCTCTTGTCCCAGGATCTGAATGGGAGCTTTTCTTTCCAGAGTATTGGAGTGGAAAACAGGGCCATCTAAATGGAAACAGGGGGTTAGAAACCACTTAGGGATCAGGTAAAGACTCAGATTTCTAGAAATAGACCTCTTTCGAGCAATGAAGCAGGGGCAAAGGGAGACTTGCCGGGCACCGCCTTCCCTGGCTCACCTGAGCGTTTACAGCTACTGGGAGGAAGAACCACCTTGACACACCCCTGTTGCATCCCTGTTCCCATCCTAGTCTCCCAAGAAGTCATTTATGGACTCTACACCCATCGCTTATTATCAATCCCCTTCAGAACCTGAACAACTCTGGCCAAACGACTGGCTGTGTCTACACAGCAAGGTGCCGACAAGCAATCTGTAATAGAGGGTAGAACCTAAGTCTACCCGTTATAGAGGATCCTTACCTGTCTTATCTGGATTGCAGGTCAGACTTGGTATAGACAAACGGCGTGGTCCAGAGCCGACAGCTGGACTTGCAGAAGCCTCAGCCTGACCCAGAGCTGGAGTTGGAGCTGGAACTGGTGTAGCAGCCGCAGTCGGAGCTGGAGTTGGTGCCTGAGTCTGAGCCGGAGCAGAAGCTGTAGACGCTGTTGGAGCCGGAACCGCAGTTGGAGCCGGAGCTGGAACCGGAGCCGGAGCAGCTGGAGCAACCTGAACAGCAGCAGGAGGCGCGGCAGCGGCAGCGGTGGCGGCGGCGGCGGTGGCAGCAGAGGCAGCGGCTGGAACCTGAGCAGCAGCAGCTGGAGAAACGGCAGCCGCAAGAGCAGCAGCAACAACAGCAGTTGCTGGAGACGGGGTGGCAGCGGCGGCAGCAGCAGCCGGAGGAGCAGCAGCAGCAACAGCAAGTGGAGCAGCGGCTACCATGGTGGTGGTGTTGGTGGCAGCGTTGGCAGTGATGGCGGTAGCAGTGGCGGCAGCAGCGACTGGTGCGGGCACAGAGATTGGAGCAACAGCTGCGGTTTTGTTCGGTTCCGTGCCCCGTTCCGTCTGGGTGCTGCAATCCCGGCTGCCCGTCTTAGAGTGAGCAGAGAGCAGGGGAGTGGAGGGTGGCACGGGGGAGGGTGTGGAGGGCACAGACTCTGCGCGGTAGTCCCCACCCAGGAGGATACCTACAAAGGGAAGAGGGGAAGAGGTCAGAAAAGTACAGGCTCTTCAAATGCAGACACCGGGTTACCTCTTCTTCCATGTGGGAGGTTCAGGAGAAGCACAAAGGGGACGTGAGTCTCTACTTGCGCCTCCGAGGAACCCAGGAATCGGGTTTGGCAGGCACATCCCTTCTGGTCATCAGTTCTCCATCCCAGTACAGGGTATTAAAACCTTTAAGTGTCCTGCGAATCTGTTTTCATTTACTTTTCCAGTGGTGATTGACTTCCACTTCAAGTAGAAGCTTGCAGAAGGCTTCTACTAGGCTACACTTATCACCCATGTCATCCACGACCAGACAGCTGGGAAGGATTGGGGGAATGATATGTGATCTGTGGTCACGGATGAGCGCGAGGACAATTGTGTAACCTAAGGTTCTCATCAAGACCGGGGTCCCCGAAATGCCTACTCTATCCAAAGGTCGCTGCAACATCACAGGACCAAGTAAGGTATTAGAAGCAACACAAAGACCTAAAATTAAAACACAAAGCTGGCTTTCTCAAGCTCTAAAAATGTGCCTGGTGGTATCCACAGTGTTTCTGGGGTTTTGATTAGAGGGGAAGGAATGGACAGAAATTGAATGAAAATGTACACTCAGTTCTCATCTCAGAACACTCTGGTAACAAAAACCTGCCACCCAGCTCCATTTAGCTTAATTAGAACTCTGAGTTCTTGTATTATATGGGAGGAGAGAACAGAGAGAAATCTGGAATTCTGAACTTTTGATTGATGTGATGGTCACATGGGCTTTGCACAAAGACAAAAGGTCTGGCATGGCAAAGGCCACATCTGAGAATTTTCTAGAGAAAACTGAAGTTGTCTTCTTTCCCACCCAAACAGAACTCAGAATTCTTATCTTCTAAGGCTTTGGCTTCAACCAGTGCTCTGTCAGTGAGACATCAGAGTGTGAAGGAGCTCCTGAATAGGCAGCTAGCCTCTCAGGAGGACTGATACCCAACCCGGTGTATCTTCCACTCTAGAATCTGAACCATCACTCCTTTTCCTTGCTGAATGGGCACATATCTAAACGCATCAATTTAATCTTCTTTATCTGCTGTCATTACCTAGGCTCCCTTTCCAGCTCTTGTCATCTCGCTTCTCTTCCATGATGGGGGTGCCAGTCAGGGTGGAAGAATGTGAGAGCAGGCCTGATCCAGCATTGGAAATGGACATCAGAGACTTCGCTGGTCGCATGGATGACAGCTGCTCTGTCTTACTTGGCTCTTTCCGGGAACGCTGCTGGAGCACTTTGATCATGGCGTCCTTCTCAATAATTTGGGCATGGAGCGTCTTAATCCTAGGAGCCAAAGGCAAAGAACATATAAAAACCTCGTTGCCACCTCCATGTTATGGTCTCACTGCCTGCATGGACTTGAGTTTCCATTCTCTTTTCAACTGAGGAGTTTAATCCTTTTGGCATTGAAAAGCAAGGGGAGGTGTTCTGTATTTTTAAAAATGCCTTTCTCCATACCCAAATGGATCTAGTGGAGCATCTAGGAGTTGTTGCTTAAACCTCAGGAAGCCAAAGCAAGGTCCGAGTGGGAAAAAAGGCTGTATGTAAGAGAGTAAATGGATGTCATGGATGCTATAGTGGAGAATATGAGTCAATGGAATGATGTATTTAGTGAGAAGATGAGGACTTCTTTGATTGGGCCGCAATTTCAGTTAGTAAGTAAATGACCCTGAGTTTATAAGACATATTAGGTGCCCTACCTCCAAGTGTGAATGGATATTCTTTTACTGTGCACTCTGCTGCATCACAGGGTTGAAGTCCAATGCTAGAAAGAATACCCAAGAGTACAAATACCAACAATACAGTTCTGGCAGAGGGAAGATGGAAAGCAATTACCAAGGCCAATGGGGAAAGCAAGGTAAAGGTCACTGTATTTCAAACCCAAGTTAACAGGCTGGCAGGGGTGCAGGGGTTGGGGGAGGCTGCATTATCAGGTTTCTCAGTTGTGAATGAAGATGCCTGCCCTTCCCTACTGACCTATCTGGTCTCTATACCTTCTTCTCAGATCCACTGGGGTCCAGATTGATATTTTACCTGCCCTCCATGTCAAGGCAACGCTTGTTGGCCATTAAGATCTCTTCCTCCTCTTTCTGAATGCGAGCTTCCAGAGCCGTGTCATAGCTGGTGTTAGGAGAGTGGCTGATGACTGTTGTATCCCTAGGAAGGAAAAGGACAGTCATGATGATAAGGCAGCAAGATCAACAAATCCTATCATCTCCCGCCCACTAAAGGTTGCTGGAAAGCAGTAAGCTATGGCCAGACTCATTAGGAATGGTTGGTTCCTGGAAGACTTACTGAAAAGAACCTCTAAGATGGGAAGGTTCAGCTTTCAGAGCTAGCTAGAAGAGGTTCTGAGCAAAAGTCAGTGATGGGATTATATAAGAGATACACGGGCTTGCCTTCAGAACTAGACAGATATCTTCCCAACGCCTCCTGGCAGAGAGTCCTTTCAAGTGTTTAGATCATGGCCAGGTTATAGGAAAATCATTATCTTTTCACTTTATATCATTATTTATATTACACATAAGATATTATAGATTTTCACTTTATTTTCATGATAGATATGAAGGGGAAAAGGCTCGACTTTTAATGGCTATTGCTACAGATGTATAGCAGCAACTACACCTGAGTGCTAGGTACAAACTGTAGAGATGGCACCAGTAAAGGTCAGATCAGGCATATGAGCTGAGTGAGAAGCATGGCCTTTGAGTCAGCACCACTTAATTCCTATCTAACCTACATCAGAAACATTCTAGTGCCAAATCAAGGAGTCTCTCCCCACAGCTATGTGACTGTTCTCTTGCCAGAGTCCCAACGTCATGAGGGGCCATCATGTTTCACTTGGAAGTGTCTCAGGCCATTAACTCAAATACTCATTAAAAAGGAGCAAAAGGTGTGGGGTGGGGGGGCGAAAGGAGAAGTAGACGAAGAAGCGGAGGGGGTGGGGCAAGGCTGCTGTCAAAGATACATGGGAATCCTGTATCGTCCTGATTAAGTGAAGTTATGCATCTTTCTTTAGTTCATTTGGAACTAGTGGTAGAAAAAAAGAGGGAAAGGAATGAAAAAAACCTGGATCTTTTTTGAGTAGGTTGGAGGGAAAGAAAAAGGGATTAGGAAGACTATTGATGTAATTATATTGGTCTTAAAGGAAAAGCCGACAAAAGACTGAGAAAACAATGAACTGGCACTGCTTCATTATACTTCCTATGAGAACGGGGAGCAGTGGGAGAATTTCCTGCTGGCAACTAGTTACGTTCTCTTAGCTTAGAGACTGTGACCAGTGCAGATGGGAGTGAAAGGGCAGGGGACTGAAGATGCAGAAAGTGAGTATTAAAGTTCAGGAATTTTGGTGAGTTCCTGTAAAATAACTGTCACCCAAAATGCTTACACTTGAGATGCCATTGATTTGAATGGTGAAATAAATTGGAGAGCAAGAAGGAGAAGGGCTTACAGTGGCTCACATCAATTGCTAAACTGAAAATATTTTAGCCTCTCAGGATTCTACACTTGCTGTAGCAAATTCACTTGCTTATAGTTCTATCAGGAATGGCATTTGTGTTCCGAAGCACCCAAGGGGAAATGGCATTGTGTGACATTGAGAGCACAGGCTCTGACCATAGACTCCATGAGGGTCCAATCCCACTTTCCCAAGTACCCTGCCACGAACAAACTCTTATGAGCTCAGAAAGTCAGTTCACTGCTCTAGACCTCGGTCTCCTCATATGGAAGACAGAAGTCATAATTATACTTGTATCTCATGGCATTTTGGGAGGCTCAAATAAAAGTATGCATGTAAAAGATGCAGTGTCAGACACAGTAAAAACACTCAACAAAGTTATTGTTGTTAGAGAGAAAAGTATGAGTAGGTACACCTGGGTGGCTCAGTCAGTTAAGGGTCCAACTCTCAGTTTCTGCTCATATCATGATCTCAGGGTTTTATGAGTTCAAGCCCCCCATCGGGCTCTGTGCTGATGGTGTGGAGCCTGCTTGGGATTTGGGATTCTCTCTCTCTCTCTCTCTCTCTCTGCCCCTCCCCCACTCACTCTGTCTGTCTGTCTCTCAAAATAAAGAAATGAACTTTTAAAACAAAATTTAAAGAGAGAAAAGTATGGGTAGAAGGAGAGTAACATACAAAAAGGTATGACTTGAAGGAATTTCAGCTCTAGGTAGAATCTTAGAGGCAGCTCCTACAGTGCGCAGATCCCATGCAATGGCTGCTTCAGAGCCAGGCCTCTCTAAAGTGTGTGTGGTGTCTATCGACACTGGGGACATGAGTGTACGGTTTGTCACTGGGGGAGCCAGTGCTGGCTCACTGCCACTTTGACTGCATAAAAGACCATTCTGGGGGACTCAGAGCCCTGCCAGCTAATTGATATGGACACTGTGAGCTCCTCAGGAATGGAGCCTGAAAATGTGGGGCACTTAGCGAATTCCTACAGAGCTGCCAGGATGGCCTTCAACATCAATCTTCCTTCTAGAAAACTGGAGCTACTAAGCCAGTGGCTCAGGCAAAAGCAAGCAAGCAGTGTTTGAAGGAGCAACTTGACCTAACTCCCAAGATTCTGAGACTATCCATAAGCACATCAGGAGAGAGATGCTGGGCTTGAGAATACAATCTGCAAATTCCAGACTGTAGATCCCTGATTTTGACATCCTACATCCAAATTCTTTTTTTTTAATGTTTATTTAGTTTTTTTTTTTAAGTTTATTTTTTAAAAATTTTTTCTCATGTTTATTTACTTCGAGAGAGACAGAGACAGCACGAGCAGGGGAGGGGCAAAGAGAGAGGGAGAGAGTCCCAAGCAGGTTCGACACTGTCAGCACAGAGCCTGATGCGGGGTTCCAATTCACAAACTTTGAGATATGGCCTGAGTTGAAACCAAGAGTCAGACACTTAACTGACTGAGCCACCCAGGTGCCCTTTAAAATATGGATTTATTTATGAGAGGGAGAGAGAACATGAGCAGGGGAAATACAGAGAGAGAGGGGGACAGAGGACCTAAAGCAGGCTCCACACTGACAGCAGAGAGCCCAATGCGGGGCTCCATTTTGTAAACCATGAGATCATGACTGGAGCCGAAGTCAGACAGTCAACTGACAGAGCCACCCAGGTGTTCCCTACATCTAAATTCTTAAGTAAACGATTTCTGGCAACTATCCCTCCAGTCATCTCTCTCCTTCCTTTGATGAAATTAACCCCATCACATTGCTTACATCACTTTCCAGAATGTCACCCATGACTTCCTAATTAAAATATCTAGAGTTTTCAACTTTTAAGCTTCAAATCCATCTCTTCCTATCAGTAGCATCCTTTTGTTTATTTAATATGTGAACTTGACCATGAGTGGAGCCCTGTGGTTGAAGTTACTGCGATGCTAAAAAGTGGCTAGACATTCATCAGACTAGTCCCTGGCTGCAGGAAACTTGCAAGGGGAGAGAAGAAAATGTAAGGGCAAGTAATTAATTGTTACAGAGGGGAGTGTGAACTTTATTCCAATTGGCACTGAAAATTATTAGAGCTTTTTGAGGGGAGTAGAATGATCCAAGCTACATTTTATGAAGATAACATTATCTCTGGCTGAAATGTGATGGGGGATTAGGGGAACAATACAGTGGACTTGGTCAAACCAGTCAGAACGGTCACTGTAATAATCCCAGCAAGAGATACTGAAATCATGAACCAACGCAATAGCAAGGGGAATGCAAACAGGCCATAGGAGGCACAAATGCTACAACTTGGAGACTATTTAAATGTGGGTGTTGGAGAGAGGGAAGAATGAATGAAAGCTCTGGTGTTTCTAATTCAAAAGACTAGAAAAGATGGCATACTGCTCATTTGCTATGATAGGAATAGAAGGAGAGATTTTGGGGAAAACATTATAATGAGTTTTGATTTTAGTTACATCAGAGTTAACACATCTTATGAATAGCCATATGACAATATCCAACAAGTTGTTGACAATTCTAACTTTAACCTAAGGGATGTCAGACTTACTATTTGAAGCTGTAGTAGAGAACAAGACAGCTAAGACAGAGTGCAGAATGAGAAAAAGCAGAGGACGGAAACTGAGAAAAGCCTATAAGGAAGGAATAAGTAGGCTTTATAATGTGTGTGATCAGCTTCTGCCTCCTGCTTTCTCTTCCTTTCCTTCTTTCCCAGATTGACATCATCCAAAATAAAAACAATACACTGCACGTTTGGGGAAGGTTAATGACCGGATTCAGGAAATGTGGACTAGTAAATTACATGGTTGATTGGATTTATCTTTTTTTTTTTTGAGAGAGGAGAGAGAGAGAGAGAGAGAGAGAGAGAGGGTGTGTGTATGTGAGCAGGCATGCATGCACACACTGCGGAGGAGCAGAGGGAGAGGGAGGGAGAAAGAATCTTAAGCAGACTCCATGCCCAGCGCAGAGCCCCACGCAGGGCTAGGTCTCAGGACCATGAGATCATGACCTGAGCAGAAATCAAGAGTCAGACACTTAACCAAATCAGCCACCCAGGTGCCCCAATTATCTTTTTATCCTTTTGCTGTTATTCAGAAATAAATTCACCATTTGCAAGCCGCAATCTGCAAAGCCAAATTTATTCATATAGGTCAAACTACTTGGTAACAATTTCCCTTATGTAAATTAAGCATCTAAAGAATCTCTAGGAACACGATAATATGGAAGTTATAATATGGACCATATTATTATGATTATTTATCATACTTTTCAGTGAATAAATAAGAAGCCTCAAATTGTAAATCTTAAACAGTTCATAATCCCTAATCACCATCCTGAAATCATCATATCTGGAAGGCAGCAGAGTCTAGTGGTGAAGGTGTCAAAATGTCATTTTCAATTCCAGTTCTTCTGCTTAGTAGCTGTGTGTGATCTTGGGCAAATTATTTAACCTGTCTGTGCCTCAGTTTCCTCACACATAGGACAGATAACAGTACTTATCTCAAAGACTTATTGTGAAGATAAGCAATACCTGTAAAGCACTTAGAAGAGTACCTTATATAGAAAACACTACCTGTGCTTTCTTGCCTTGACAGCTGTCCCTTTGACAAGTGGTGCTTTGTAGAATTAAAGTGCTAACAGGAGTCTAAACAGATCACCTAACAGGCCTTATCACCTGAGAAAAGACCGTTCTCTATTATTACATTAAAATCTGTACTTTAGGGGTGCCTGGGTGGATCAGTCAGTTAAGCATCCAGCTTTGGCTCAGGTCATGATCTCACGGTTCATGAGTTCGAGCCTCGCGTCCAGCTCTGTGCTGACAGTTCAGAGCCTGGGGCATGCTTTGATTCTGTGTCTCCCTCTCTCCCTCTGCCCCTTCCCTACTTGTGCTCTGTCTCTCAAAATTAAATAAACATTAAAATTTTTAAAAACCTGTACTTTATTATTCACAATGACTAAAGACCTGAAACAATCCAAATATCCATAATCAAGTGAATGGATAGACTATGGTGGTACACCCAGACTATGGAACACTACTCAACAATAAAAAGGAATAAACTATCGATACATGCATCAACTTGTATGAATCTCAAAATAATTACGCCAAGTGAAAGAAATCAAACAGAAAGGATATATACTACATTACTTCTTTTGTACAACATTCTAGGAAAGGCAAAATTATAATAACAAACTGATTGTTGTCTAGTGTCAGGTGGGGGAGGAAGGGATCAAACTGAAGGGGTACAAGAGCACTTTAGAATGCACCCTCTATTTTGATTGTGGCTACATTATTGTCTATAACTGCCAACATTCATCAAGCCATTCATATAAAATAGGTGTTTTACAATATGTAAACAATACCTTAATTGAAAAAATTCTACAACTACCATTGATACCACCCAAGTAACACTTCCCAAATGTGCAACCTGTTATTCACCTATAAGCTATTACATTGGGAACGTATGAAGTCAGAGATACTAGCAGAATACACAGAAACCAAGCATGTCATTAAAATGTGGCACTAGATTTAGGGATTTAAGTTATAGAGTTAGAAACCATTTCCTTCTCTTTCACTTCTTTAAAAATTATTTAGAAAGAAAATAGAATATAAAGCCTTTGCCACAGAAAGGGGCAAAGAGCAGAACCTTGGTCAAATTTTTTTTTTAATATTTTTATTTTTTATTTCTAGGAGAGAGAGAGAGAGAGACAGCGTGAGCAGGGGAGGGTCAGAGAGAGAGGGAGATACAGACTCTGAAATAGGCTCCAGGCTCTGAGCTGGCAGTCAGCACAGAGCCCGACGCGGGGCTCGAACCCACGAACCGCGAGATCATGACCTAAGTGAAAGTCGGACGCTTAACCGACTAAGCCATCCAGGCGCCCCAAATTTTTAAGGTTGAATGAAACCACTGGACAGAAAAGAAAGGGCAAGAGATGTTGGAAGGGAAGGCAGAAGAGCCCATAGGTTCTGAAATAAAATTTTCTGAATGTTACCTTCCAAATTGGAAATCTCATTAAAAAAAGAGGAAAAGGAAATCAATCTCTGTGGCCAAGCATAAGAGGCACTATCTCTGGAAAAAAAAATAGTATAATCCTAGAAACAGCAGGGTCTGGAGGAATTACCTAGTCCACCTCTCTCATTTTGCAAGAATGTGAACACAGTCTCTCAATTTCTCCTGTGGGCTGGATTAACAGGCATGCAAAAAAAAAAGCATACAGTCCTGATAACACGATGTTTGACCAAGGAACTAACATAAGGTGTTTCTGGTCAGGTGGAAACTAGCTGCTTTTTATCATATTAGATGATAAGCATGCACATTTAAGTGAAAACAGTGATTACATGGAAACTTTCTACCTGGTGATTTAAACAAATGTGGTTTAAATTAAATCTACTTTGTTGAAAGCAACGGATTCTGGGAAGAAATCTATCTGAAAGATATCAAAACTCCCAATATCAAAACTTAGGAAGGAAGGAAGGATGGGAGTAGTTTTTTTTATACAAGGACCCCAGTGACAACCTCCTAGCTTTCTTGCATTTCCTGACCTGAAGTCTATTCTGAAGTCAGTTTTAGCCATGAGCCTCAAAGCATCAAGAACGTTGGCTTTCCAACATTTTCTCACACTGCACACCTTTATGAGCTAGATCTTTCTCAGTTTCTGCCCAAAGATGACAAAATCACCCTTTATCTCCTTTTCAGTGTTAGGGTTTCCTGAATAACCTTTGAATAACCATTTGGGCACAGGTGTTTTCTTAATTCTTAACTCTGCTTCTAATCTGCCTACAAACTTCCTGACCATCTTCTAGCACAGCTGGGGCTTCCTTGCACTTGGTTACTGCCCTAACATGCAGCGAGCACACTGTTCTCCGAAAAGAAAGACAGGTATGCATAAGCCCATGATGACCTCAAAATCAAGGCACAGGCAATTTCTTTCTTTTTTTTTTAGTGTTTTTTTAATTTATTTCTGAGAGAGAGAGTGAGAGAGAGGGACAGCGTGAGCAGGGGAGAGTCTGAGAGAGAGGGAGATGCAGAATCCGAAACAGGCTCCAGGCTCTGAGCTGGCTGTCAGCACAGAGCCCGACGTGGGGCTCGAACCCATGAATTGGGAGATCATGACCTGAGCTGAAGTCGGATGCTTAACAGACTGAGCCACCCAAGCGCCCCGTGGTACAGGTGATTTCAATCCATTTAAAGTTTATCTATTCTCCATGTACTTGGAGGCAGGCAGAATGTGTTAGAGAAACAGTAAGATGTCTTCCTGGAGAATCAGGAATACACGTGCAGATCACCAGCCTAGCTCTTAAGCACTGACCTCCTCCTGATTTGGCATGAGAAGGACTCACAAATAAATGTATCTGCCACCCCACCACACCCCACATCACAGCCTAAATTCTGGCAAGCGTCTCAAGATTCTGTCAGTTCGCCACCTTTAGGCGAATGTTTGAAACGACATCGTGGTTTTTTAATAACTTTCTGGGTAGAGCTTCAATGGGTGCAATATGCTCTAGCCTCCCTTAGATATCCAACTGGACACCAAAGCTCTGTCTGTCTCTCCAACAGCCCAGGCCATCTCCTGATTCGAATTTAGTTTTTTGTTGTTTCTCTCTTTCTTTTCCAACCAATGATTATGAACAGCAGTGAGACATACAAATTGGACAAGAGCACTGTTTCCTCTAAAGACCAATGTTTAATGTTTTCCCTTGAAAAAGGGGCATGGAAGAGGCAAAAAATTAAAAATCCTTCTGCCACTTTCTCTTCCTCATCAAGTGGAATGTGACTGTTTACATGTGATGAACTCAGGGACCCAGAGAGTGTGGCCTTCAAATATAGACCTTCTCAAAGGGCACGGATGGATCCATGTTCAGCACAGCCTCTGGCATACCTTGGGTAAGCCAGAGCTATCAAATGGCAGCAGCCACTCCTGAGTGACATTTTGTTTGTGAGTGGCATTTCTCCAGAGAGGCTCTCACTCCCGTCCTGGGACTAAACAAAGAAACCTACACATGTGGCCGAAAGAAGTCATGACTCTGGTGAAGGAGGCATGCGAATGTTCACTTGACCCCATCTGCCATCATCCTGGCTCCTGACGAAAGCTGAACTTTCAGTAAGTTCGTTAAGTTAACGTTCATTTTCAAATTCCTGACCCAAATTCCTAAACAGTCTCTGTTTAACCAGGTGAAAGGAAACACACTTAGGTAGACCCTGGTGAGGGGAATAAAGAGCACTATAAGAAAAAAGCAAAAACACCCAGAACAATCTTTTAACCAGTCACCTTTCTGTTCTGCCCATCACCCACACCCTCCAAGGAAGAATTCCAGAAGCCAGCTACTTACCTCTGTGCAGCTACGGTTGCAGCGGCATCTAGAGCGAAATGTCTCATCACATTCTCCTCCAAATACTTCTGCTCCCACTTGGTCATATCAGCTTCCAGGGCCAGGATCCTCTCCTCCTTCTCGCGAAGCAACTCCATCAGTGCAGTAGCGCTGTGTTCTGAAACGCTGGCAGGCTGAGGGTTACCCTGGCGCTGGTTGGGGAGATGCCGAGACCCCTCGGGTTAGTGAGAGAACCATGGTGACCGAGCCCCATTTGAAGAGCCCCTATTCTTAGAGAGCATGACTGCCCAAGCCACTTCAGTTTGGATTCTGATCCAGAAGCAAGGGGAATTCAGATTTCCTCCCAAGGCAACAGCACTTTCTGTCTTGGAGCTTGAACAGGAGACTCCTTTGATCAGGAAAGCAGCTTGCCGTATCAAACAGTCATGCCACTCAGAAAGTGGGACGGGTGGCTGAAAAATCACTATCCCTGCCTACCAGCATGGCATACACTAGAAATGGACATTAAACACCTAGGATTGAGTCCCTGCCTTGTCCCTAACTTGTTGTGTGGTCTTAAGTGAGTCATGCAACCTTTTCTGGGTCTTGATTTTCTCCCATCTGAAAATGAGGGGGTATATGGCCAGATGAGTCTAAAGACTGGAGCCAATTCTAAAATGTCTGGAGTCTATGTGTACAGCATCTTCATTTTTTTTTTTTTGTTCACCAACCCTAAACACTGCATCTTCACTTCTTAGAGGGTCTGCTGTTCATATGAAAATAAAAGGTGCGAGTCAATAGGCATTAAGGATTTTGCTGGGCTAGGAGGCTATGGAAGCTGACTTCACCATCACAATTAGGAGGTAGTCTGGAGTAAGATCAGGTGTGGGGGGGGAAACCTAAAAATGAGCACAAGTGTGGTTTTTATCTTCATGTCTGACACCATATGAAAAATAACAAATAAGGAGCTATCTCATTTTAAGTTCTCAGTACCTGCTGAATTCGGAGTGATTCCAGTTCCCTCTCTAGCCGTGTCCGGAGACGATGCTCCAACTGCTCACGTTTTTCACATGCCGCCTGGAGCTGTACCAGGGCTTGCTGCATCTTCTCGACCTTATCTACATACACTTGCTTCTTTTTCAGCTGCAATTCCAGGTTGGGAGAGTTGCGAGATGGCACAAAAGAGAACAACAGAGTCGGTTATTGAACAACAACACAATCCAGCCTTGTGTTTCGATCTCTTTCCAACCAGCTCCAAAAAAAAAAAAAAAAGAATGAATGGCAAGAAGGTTCTTCATGATGAGTCTTATACTTATCATGCAGCGAATGTGATGGGGAAGAGGAATTAGGAGCCCCCCTGCTTTTTTAAACATTTTCTTCTTTCCCCATAACTATGCCTTCCCCAGACCTATTTGGATCAGTAGGGTCTGTCTTACATGGCAAGCTTTTAAGATGATTAAAATGATAATCCTTATAGAAAGATCCTCACTTCTGCTTTTCTTCACTCTAAACTGGAATATTTTGGGAGAAAGAGATGTCTTATTTTGGTCATTACAATAGACAAATACTAAAAAAAATAAAATGGGGGGCTCTCCAAAGAAAAAACCCTAACTTGGTATGGAAAGGGAACCCATCCTCTGCCCCTTATTTAGGTGTTTCCTCTCCAAGTGACAATCAATGGGTAATGAAGGTACAAGGAGGCCAGAACTGTCTTTTTGAAGTCTGTGGTCCTTGTAATTACCCAATATAGTCATCACTTCTCTCTTGGACAGTTTTTGCTTCTCAAAAGTAAAGTTACCACCCAATAGATTAAGAATTTTTAAATCTCCTCATTGACTAGCACTGCCCCACTACCTGCACAGGTAAATAAAAGAACACAGGTTATTTGTCATTTCCGCTTCACTCATGAGCCTGAGTTGATAACATTGGACTCTGAGAACACTGGACTATAATTTCTCAACTTTATTCTGGGCCCTTTAAAGACATCTAAAGACTAGAACTAATGAGTCTTTAGATTTAGAACTAAATCTAAACCTAAATGAGTCAAACATGATTCTTCCTCTTTACAAGACTAGGAACCATAACAAAAAGCAAAGGTAGAAGCAGGTTGGGACAAAGAATCTGAACTTTTCAAGTTATTTTTAAATGTTTATTTATTTTTGAGAGAGAGAGGGACAGAGTGTGAGCAGGGAAAGGTCAGAGAGAGAGGGAGACACAGAATCCAAAGCAGGCTCCAGGCTCTGAGCTGTCTGCACAGAATCTGATGCAGGGCTCGAATCCACGAACTGTGAGATCATGACCTGAGCTGAAGTTGGGCGCTTAACCCACTGAGCCACCCAGGCGCCTCTGGTACTAAGAATCTGAGTTCTTTGTGCCCTTGTAGTTTATAAGCCAAATCATGGCTCCACTGGAGTAGAGGAATGAGGATCTCAGGGCTCTTTCAAGAAAGCATATACATCCTCAACACCTAAGAAGATTGGGCTAAGTAAGTGCAGCTTCCCAGCTTGTTAGCAAATGAGGTTATACTGTTCATCATATTCGTGCAGTGCCTCTCTTGCTAATAGAATCAACCCACGGACTCTCTCTTTTTTATTTATTTATTTTTACAAATAGTTTATTGTCAAATTAGTTTCCACATAACACTCAGTGCTCATCCCCACAAGTGCCCTCCTCCATGCCCATCCCTCCTCCCCCCACATCCATCAGTCCTCAGTTTCTGTCAGCATTCAAGAGTCTCTCATGGTTTGCCTCTCTCCCTTTCCCCCACGGACTCTCTTTCTAATGCAGACATTCTTCCAGGCTTGTCTCACATCGGTTATTATCCTTTTCATGGAAGCTGAGGTTAAGGATACTTTCACTTTAAGATCTAAATCAAAATATTATTGGTGACCTTGTGAAGAGGAAATTGAAGAATTCAGCTCAGCTCCAACTTTTCCACAAATTCCCGAGCCCTTGAGCTAGCTATGTAGACAGTTGCAATGTTAGAAGTTACCCTTCCAGAACTGCCCATATGCATTTAGTGAGGGCAAGCCAGCAGGCCCAACCCGGCTCCGCTATTGCAGAAACCTGGTAACTTAATGGTAATAAGTCCAAATCATTGCTGTAAAGAATGTCCAGTCAGACAGCAATGTGCCAAACTCTCCTTGTCTTATAAATGCCTTCTCCCCAAATTAGACTCGCCAAACTTTATCTAGGTTGCAGAAAACCTATCTTGTATTTTTCTATCAGAACTGTGGTATACTTTGCCTAGGTGACTTGGAAAAGAAAACTTAAAAGTTTTTTTTTCCTATGCTTTCTTGACATTTACTTTCATTCTAAGACCTTCTTCAATTTAGCCTCATAGACCAGTTGAGGTGAGTTATAAGTCTAGATGCTTTTTATCCATTAGATCTTTTCCTAGGAAATAACAGAAATCAAAACCATTCTCTTTCTTTCAGCAAGTTTACACTTTTCTTTCCTGGGATACATGACTATTTGTAATAATAATGACTAGGGCAATCAAGACCTTTAAGCCATGGATGTCTTTGCCTTCCTATTTGCTAAGCTTTGAATAATTGGAGAGCAGGGAATATCCTTTAACTTCACCTTTTGGATTCCATAATCCTCAAGAGCTATTTCAAGTTGAATGCATTTATTTGTGAATCACTCTGAAAATCCTAGGGGAGCAGTGCAATGTTAATGCAGAGAATGCTAACTGTAATTATGGAGGCTTACAGCAGTTATACTTAAAGGCAATTAAAGTTAGCATGGGTTTTTGCCTTGATGGTGAAGTACTCTGGTGCAACCTCAGAGAACTGAAAAACAAGCAGTCCAGGGCCTGGTGGAGATCTCCACACCCTGCCTTTCTTGGAGAAATGAAATCTTAATATCTTGGCAAAAGCATCTCTAGCAGTAGAAGTCACTGAGCCAACCTCCTGGAAGGGAAAAGCAATAAAGGCCCAGGAAGTTTTCTGAGCTGGCTGAAGACAGGCATGCAGGTCAGACAGCTCTCACAAAGCAGGCTGAGAAAAAAATCCAATTATGCTTTTCCATTGAGATATTTATACATAAGGTACCAGGACCATGGTTACTGGCATAATTCGCCTCCTACCTCCTTTAAAAGAAGAAAAGAGTGTAGGTCACCCATAAATACCATGGTCACTTAGCAAATGCTTAATTTGTAGATAACTTATGACAGAAAGGGACAAATCTTGGATGCTACCAATACAAGACCCTAGAGATGAAATCAACAAATCAGTTGTATTCTGTTATGTACACTTTTTTCCTAGATCTCATCTGTATTTAGAAAGGAACAAAGGTCTATATGGTTTATTAATTCCTCTATTATTGTCATATGCTTCGCTTTTACCTTCATTGTGATAAATCCCCTTTTCTTTTCTGCCTCACCTCTGTACACTTATCTCCTGTGCTAAGTTCCTCAAATGTTAGATCATTAATTAGGACATTCTGGGTCCCCAACTTCATCTTCCAATGTCATCAGAAATGCCAGTGGCTCCTCATCAGTTAAAAGAGAGACCACATAGTAAAATGGTTATGGTCATGAGCTCTGGCCTCAGACTATCGGAGTCTAAATGCGAGCTCTCCCACTCATTAGGTATGCAAACTTAGGTAAGCTACTTAATCTCTCTGACCTTCCATTTATTCATCCATACAACATGGAGATGATGATAATGTGATATACCTCTATAAAGATCAAATGAAATAACTCATGAAGTGCTTAGTAGATGGCCTAATACAAAAGTACTTAGAGTTGTTCTTTTTTTTAAAAAAAGTTAATGTCAAATCACACATGCTCTAGTCTTTTCAACTCTGAACATTCATGCTAGATAGCCTTGATATAGATCTCATTATTTCTGTAACTCTAATTATCACATTAATGTTAAGACAAACCAAATGAGCAAATAACAACAAAGACAGAAACCAATTCATAAATATGAGAACAAACTGGCGGTTGCCAAAGGGTAGGGGAGTGAGGGGTGGACAAAATGAATGAAGGAGATTAAGAAGTACAAACTTCCAGCTATAAAATATACAAGTCATGGTGGTAAAAAGCACAGCATAAGAATGTAGCCAATAATATTGTAACACACTTATCATGGTGTGTATTTCATAATGCACATAATTGTTGAAACACTATGTTGTACACCTAAAATTAATATTATATGTCAACTATACTTAAAGAAAAAAAATTTAAAGACATTAAAAATGCAGCCATTTTCCCCTAAGAAAACATATAAAACTAGGCCTCAAAAATTTCATATGATGGTGCTTCAGATACCTTTGTAAGGCAAGGCCATTCACTGGAGATACAATTAGAAGCAAGGGCTAAGTAGCCACAAGACACCATATTTTCTCCAAATGACACATTTCTCCAAATGAGAAATAAATACTTATAGTCAAAGGTACTGCTTAAAAAAAAGAGCCTTAGCCATTTGTAGCAATGTGGATGGAACTTGAGGGTGTTATGCTGAGCGAAATAAGTCAGGCAGAGTACGACAGATACCATATGTTTTCACTTATAGGTGGATTAGGAGAAACTTAAAGGAAGACCATGGGGGAGGAGAAGGGGAAAAAATAGTTGGGGAGAGGGAGGGAGGCAAACCATGAGACTCTTGAATGCTGACAACAAACTGAAGGCTGATGGGGGTGGGGGAGAAGGGAAGGGGGGTGATGGGCATGGGGGAGGGCACTTGGGGATGAGCACTGGGTGTTATATGGAAACCAACTTGACAATAAACTATGAAAGAAAAAAAAAGAGCCTTAGGCAGAGCTCATTCCCCACAAAACACACACATACACACACACAGAGTCAGATTTTAAATTTTTAATGTTTGATGTTTAATGTTTTATTATTTTTGAGAGAAAGAGAGAGAGAGAGAGAGAGAATGAGAGAGAACATGAGCGGGGGAAGGGCAGAGAGCAAGAGGGAAACACAGAATCTGAAACAGGCTTCAGGCTCTGAGCTGTCAGCACAGAGCTTGATGTGGGGCTTGAGCTCACAAACTGTGAGATCATGACCTGAGCTGAAGTCAGAAGCTTAACCAACTGAGCCCCCCAGGCGCCCCCATGTATATCTATCTATTTGACAGTGAAATGAAAGGTAAATGAACAAAGGGGCAATCAGGAAACTTGGATTCTAGTCC